GGGTACGGCACAGGGTGGCGGTGCAGGCTGCGGAGTCCGAACTGAAGCCCGAGTCCAGCTCCGCCAGCATAGAGCGCCCCCTGCCGGCCCGCCCTCCTAGACCGGCGAAGGTCAGACCTAGACGCTGGGATTTAATCATTCATTCATTCCTTCAAAAATACCGGACCATCAGAACAGCCACTGCTTTGACTATACCCACAGGTAGCTTTCTCTTCTCTCGCTTCATCGTGTTTTTGCCTGGCAAAATCCCAACCCACTCTCTACCTACTTTGCCCCTCCCGCCCCCCCCCCGCCCCCGCAACCTGGGTACCCATTCAGTTCTGGGGGGGGGCGGGGAAACACAACCTGGCTGACTGGTTGTTCCTTGAATCGCCCGCTAGCCTACATTGCCCTGATTCATTCTACCCTTTCTTCTCTCTTATTCTTAGTTTGCTTCCTATTTCACTGAGTAAATAGAAGCAATCAGAGAAGACTTCCACATGCTCTCTCCACATCTGAATATCTATCCTCATCTCTGCCTCCATACTGGGTCTTCGGTTACTATTGATCAACTGTCCCTTCCATTTGGGCCCTAGCTGCCAGCCCCTGTACTACTAACCTGGGCTTCTTCAGAAATTCTCCCGGATCATCCATTCCCCTTATTTGCTGGTTCATTCCTATCAGCATTCAAACATGCTGAAATAGTTTTCATCCTAACTCTCTCTTGACCCTACATCCCTCTAGGCCTTCCTCATTTCTCTGTTCACTTGGATAGCATAAACCTCAAATGAGTTGTGTATACTTGCTATTTCCGGTTTTCCTACCATTCTCTCTTGAACCCTGTCCAATCAAGCTTATACCTTCTTTACCAAAACCTTGTCAAGGTCATCATGAGCTCCTCAATGCTAGATCCAATAGTTAATTTTCAGGCTTCATTTTCTGCATGTAAACGAGGAAGCATATGTACAACTGTAAAGTGCTTCCTAAATTTGAGGGGTTGGCATTATTAATTAGAAACCAATAAACTTTGTAAGTGGATGAATGTCCGCTGCTGCAATGATACCTCTTTTTTTCCATCCTCTCCCCAACCCCAGCCTGTTTATGAAGCTTTTCAGGCACAAGTGTGGGGCCTTCCATGTGCCCCGGCTCTGGCATCCAGTGTCCAGAATGGTCCAAGAAAGCACTCTTTCCATCTTCCTCTAAGATGCCAACAAATGTCAGCAAATGACAAAGACAAGGACCAAGGTCTGGGGCTACGCGTCCATGTAGCTTGTCAATGCCTCTATTGCCTGAGGGAAAAGTGAGAATACCCAGGGTCTCACCTGCCATGTTTTTGTAATAATGCGAAGTAGTATATAGTATTTTACCTCCTTACTATAAGCTATATGAGGCAAAGGATCAGGGTGGGATGAGGGGAAGAGGAAAGGACAGGTCAGGGCACTCCAAGAACAGAACAGAGTAGAGGGGCAGCCCTTTTACATAGAGTGTGTCATCAGACAAACCTTTGAAAGTATAAAATACATATTTATGGGCTATTATAGGACCCTCTGTTAATTTCAAAGGGAACATTGACAAAATGACGGTCATTCCCAACCATCCTGCTTTTCTTGAATTAACCAGGTTTCACCATCTCCCGATCTAGAAATACATCTGCTCCGTGTCTGAGACCTCAGACCTCCCTCTGCGTTAGGTCCTCCTGGGAGAATCTGCTGTGAGGGGGAGCAGGGATTCTCCACCTTCTACCCCAGGCATCACCTCTTTGTGAATTCATCTCAGCACCATTCAAGAGAGCTCACAGCAATGACCACAGCCACATCAAGAGGTGTTATTAAAAGGAATTTAATAATCTTAATTAAAAACTCAACAGCGAATTCCGTCACAGGCCTTGGCAGCTGGAAGCAACTCCAGGGTCATGCCCCTTTGGGACGTGGCTGGGCCGCGGTCTTGGACACAGGCCCACCACTGCTGCGTGGCAAAGAGCGACCTGAAAGTTATTTCAATACAATATCAAAGATCCGCGAGGATGTTTTTTTAAAAAAAGTTTTAAATATATTAGACTCTCTTGATTGCCATTTTTACACAAAGCTGCTGATACAGTATACAGAGTTTTAACTTTTTTTCACATAAAATACATTTTTCTGAAGTGTTCTCTGTACATCGGTGGCTTCTGGTCTGGTGAATTATTGCGGAGGGCTGGGGGTCTGCAGACCTTTCCTGGGTGCGCAGAGCCAGGCCCCGCACTATGGCACTTGCATGCCCATGGGAAGCAGGTCCACTGGCCAACTGGCCAGCAAGAGGCTCCTATGAAGGAGAGGGCTATCACTTCTGGCGAAAGGATCATTTCTGTGGAGTTATTCACTGACCACATGACCCTTTGCTCTTATGTGCCCTGGGGGAGGGGAGGCTGTCCCCAGGCTACAATATCAAGAGTTAAATACAGTCCTTCTGAGCATCTTGTCAGGGGCGCCTCCTGGAAAGTGCCCCGGTATCCTGCTCTGGGAAAGCAGGTGGAAGAGAGAGCTCAAGATCAAAAGGTATCTGATACCAATAGCTCAAATGGTCTTACATTACTACAAAGTCAGGAAACTGTGGCCGGATAGGACTGGGGACAGATGCTTGTTAACTTTCTAGGGTCATTTAAATTGATCAAACAGTGCAGAGCAGTTTCACTGATGTTGTGTATTTGATGGAGAACTATATCCTAAAGTCTTCAGTACGCCTGGGTTTAGATTCATTCAGCTTCCTTGAACCACTGTCCAGAAACTCACTATCTGGTGATAGCCACCAATTTTCAATTGTCTGGGGCATAAGGTGGGAGCAAGGGCCAGAGCTCACAGTGAGCCATGTGGCACCTGCTTTGGAAGTAGCCTCCTTCAGTCTGCCAGGAACTGCCACCAGATCTGGGGCTTGGCAGGAGCTGGGCATCTGGTCAACCTTACCAGCATTCTCCCAGCCCCTCGATTCACACCTGCCAGGAAGAGAGGCAGATTCATGAGGGAAGGCTTTGATGTTAAGGGAGAAGCTCTTTTTCCTCCCATTATCCTTTGGTGGGGAAGAAAGACTACATAATAGCAAAAATGAGCGAGAGACAATGAGTTTAAAAACCTGAGATGCATTTGGCAGCAATTCCAGACTCCTTATTCTTCTGGGCACTGACTTCAAACTGCTGTTATATAGTGCCTCAAAGATGCTGGCCTGAAGGCAGCTAGGAATTTAGAGTTCCCTAGAGACTCAGGATGGTGTCAGCCTGGAACCCAAGATCCAGCATCTGCATTTAATGGCAAATGTCATCTAGGGGTGGCCATCACAGCTGTTTCCTGGCTAAAGGGATTCCTCCTCTAGGGAGTCTAGGAGCTCAAAAGCACAGGGATGCTGGACCAGTATGCAGTCACCTATCTCAGACAAATTGAATGGGCTGCTGCTGACACCCATGCTCCTCAGGGGATGAAAACCACAAAGGGTGATCTCCTCACTCTATTTTGATCCTCCTTTATCCCCAGAACCTAACATAGTGCCTGGTATGTCACAGCTACTTAGTAAACTACAGGAGTGAATAAATGGATGACCTTGGCCCCAGCTTGTCCATCAACACTCAACAGACCTGCAGGAGAAGTACCCCAGGTACTAGAAGCCCTAAGAGGGAATGGTTTGTCCCTGACTGAAAATAGGAGCTTGTGCTCAAGAGTCTTCAGTTCCCAGCCTCCCCGGTGGAGAGGAATGGCCCAGGAAGCGAGGCGGGGGGAGGGGATGGCCAGAGGGCTCAGAGTGGGCAGTAAGTGCGTTCTGTCTCTGGGCCTGAGCAAACAGATCCAAAAACCTGCCCAGCTCTCTCCTGAGGAGTACATGGCTTCCCTGGGAGCCCCCAGCTTGCAGCTTAAGTTGGCTCAGGAGGAATTTCAGGGTTAGTCTGATCTGAACACTGTTTTAAAGCCAAAGGTATGTGTGTTTTAGGTCATCCCTGCCCTGCTCCAGCCATAGGCTGGGATGATGAAGAGCCCACCCTAGACCCCAGGGATGCAGAGGCGTCACACACACCTCTGCATTCTCCTGCCTTGCCCTGCCCTGCCCCCCCAGACAGGAACTGTCCTGCAGTTGGGGTGGGGGTGGCCTGGTGCTGTGACCCTCCCTGCACCCAAGAGCCACCAGGGGCACAGGGACTCTCCTGAGGCCCGTGCTCTCCTGCCCAGCTGCCCCACTCCTGGTGAGGCGTCAGCCAGGACCCCTGGGAGCCAGCTCCCTGTCTGGGTTCTGGGGCTGGGGGTGCGGGGGGCCACCGTGGGGGCTGGGACTGACACACAGCAGACCCACTACTAAGGCTGTGACACAAGGGGATCTTCTCCAGCCACCCCTGGCCCAGGTGGCCCCCAGGGAGAATTTTTCATAGGCTCAGAAAGAAGAGGATTAAAGGGAACCCAGATTTTTCCCCCTAGTCACAGAATCTGGATCTAGGGGACCCCTTCAGAGCTCTAAGGAGGTAGTTTTAGGACAAATAAAAGGCTCACAGAGCAGGGAACAAACCTGCTCATTAGTTACACCGATGAGTTTGGCTGAGCCAGTGGACAGCACCCAACTCATGGGCGACAGTTTCAATGGGGCTCTTGAGAGAATGCAGTGGAGAGGCTGCCCCTCGGGTGAATTGAATGGGTGGTCACACAGCCGGCTCCTGGCATGGGCAAGGCTGTGGGGATCAGGCCTGTGTCCGGCCTCCCCAGCACTGGGGAGATTGGGGCTATGAAACTAGGGCTCACCCAACTCCGGTCCCGCCACCACTCTCCTGAATGCAGTTTAGGGTGCTGGCCACGGGCACCTTGGATTTGCCGCCTGGGGTGTCACCACTCTAGCTGGAGCAGACAGGGAGCCCCTGGGCCAGGCAGGGTTTCACGAGGGCCAACTGGCAACTTGTTTCACTGAGCATTCCAGAAAAAGCAAAGCCGGGCCTGGGTCCTGAGCATTCACTCTGGGAGTGTGTGTGCGCGAGCGGAGGCGGGGGGGGGGGGGGGGGTGGCCGGCAGCCCCTCCCTGCTCACTCCGATGGCGCAGTCCGAGGAAGGACGGCTGAGGAATGACCAACATGAATTCACTCCTCTCCTTGGAAAAGCCCTTCCAAGTCAAGCTCCCCAAGCTCATTTTTTCAGCACAAGTCAGTAAAACCCAGGGAGCACAGCATTATCGGTGAAAACAGTCACATTCAGTTCCCTCCCGCCTAGAGTTGTATAGCCTTGAATTATTCCTGTTTCAAATGCACTTTTGGAAACACGAACTTTTCCCCCCACCTCCACTTTTTGATGCTTCCATCTAAGAACAGAATGTGATCTGGATCATCCCAGGAATGGAATAGCTTGGTTTCCCACCTCAGCCCCTGGGTAGTTACACAGCTGGCTCCTGGCCTGGGCAAGGCTGTGGGGAGCAGGCTGTGTCCATTTCATCTACCCTTGCGGGTTCAAGGCTCCCTCTGAACACAGAGAGGACTGCCTGCTCGTGTGAGATGTAAATGGTGGCCCAGACCTTGAAAGGACTCTGGGTAGGACTCTGGGTCTCAGCTTAGCAGGCCCCCTCCCCCACTAAAGCCACACTGGCAGTGGTGACGAACGCTCTCAGTCTTAACCTCGGTCCTCTTGGGAATAGCCCACAAATTCTCTGTCCCACCTGCTTCCCATGAGCCCAGCTGTCACTTGTACACAGGTTGACGAAATGTGTGTGTGCGCGTGTGTGTTATGTGACATGCTAGTACTGGTCCAGAGACGATTTTACCAACCACAGAACTGGAACGCAGCCCTCCCTCCCAAAATCAGACAGCAGGGTGAGTCAGGAAGCCGCGAGGGGCCTTGTTTCTGATGGCAGACAATGCAGCAGGAAGCACTGGTGACGCTGTGGGCGGCTGGCTGAGAGGTGGGCTCGGCGCTCCCCTGGAAAGCCCAGCCCATCTCCCTGCCAGCTGCCCTCTGAAGCTTCCCCAGCCAGCGCTGCTGGGCTGGCCTGGATTCCAGGGATCCTCCACCCCCACCCCACAGTGCATCTCTCTCCTCTGTCACATGGAGACTAGGAGATGCGGCAACAGCCATGGACCTTCTCTTCCATCTCCTCTATGGGGGCCTTGAACTTCAAGAGCGGGGGATCTCCGCTGGTGACTGTGTAATACACCGAGGTCCCATTGCTGCTGTATGGTGAAGTTCTGCCTCCGATCAAGGGGGCCTTGCCTTCGCTGCTGCTCTCGCCCGTCCTGGCCATGCTGCTGCCCAGGTGGGTGCTCAGGAAAGGGTGGCTGAGCAGCTTGGCTGCAGCCCGATGCCGCTTCAGCTCCAGAAGCGTCTGGGGGCTCTGTTCCTTGTAGCCACTCCAGGGCGGGGTGGCGTCGACCATAGCGGGGTTGCCATAGACCATGTTGTAGTCGGGCACCTCATGCACTTTCCAGACATCCCCATTGGACAGCGCATACTGGTAGGCGCTGACCGGAGCCCGGAGGCCATTCTCGACAGGCACGTCCATTTCGCTTCGTGGGATCTTGGTAGGAAACTCAGAGAGCAGCACGGGCTTCTCCAGCCGGGGGTTCTGAGGGTGAAAGGACAACATTACCAGCTGGCTGGAGGATCCCAACCCACTCCTCACTTGCGCCTCTGCTTAGGGCATCATTACTGTCCTCCATCCATGTTCCCTGACTGGGTAAAAGGACCTCCACTTTGCCTTGGGGAAGTCACCAATCAATGTGTTTTCCTAGGCTGGCCAAGCCCCATCCTCGCTCGAAGGGCTGGACCAGGACCCCAGGCCTGGCCAGGCAACACACTCACTACGGGAGCTGGTTCAGAGGTGGTTTCTTGACCAAAACTGCTTTGATGAAACTCAACCCTGGGACTTTTGTTAGAATGATTGGGAAAGAGAAGTTCTGTTTTTACAGGAATTGTGGGTGGTGACAATGATATAAGTTGGGGGCTGGGGAGACACCATGTCAAAGGGCCTGCTTGGCAGTGAGGCTGCCATGAAGGAAGAGTAAGGGAGAGAGAGAGAATGCATCCTGGTGATGTGTTTTGAGTCCCTGGATCCTGCTGGGCCCACATTTTCCAGCTACATGAGCCAATAAATTCCTCTTTTGGGTAATTTCAGTTGAGTATTTGGTCACGTGCAATCTTTCCTCTGTATCGCCACTCTAAACATTCTTACCCAAAGGCCCTTTACACCCAGAAACCCTTGGATAACTAGAGTTGCCTAGAAACTCTAAATGAAAAAGTTGATACATTTGACAATAACAAAAAATGTAAAGCCTAGCCCCCAAATCACCATATACAAGGTCAAAAGATGCATGACAAAACTGGTATAATATTTGCAACATATATGACAGAAAAAGCACTAACTTCCCAAATAAATAAAGAGCCCTTAAAAGTCCATTTTAAAAAGCCCAAAAGAAAAAACTGACAAAGGACACTAATATACAGCTCACAGGAAAATATAACATGTAAACATAGGAAAAATATTCAACCTTACAAATAATTAATGACGTAAAAATTAAAACAAAATTTAAATCTATCATACTGATGAGTGTTTTTTTAAATTAATTTTTAGAGAGAGAGAAACATTGATTTATTGTTCCACTTATTGGTCGATTCTTGTATGTGCCCTGACCAGGTATTGAACCCTCAATCTTGGTGCATTGGAACAGGTAGTCTAACCAACTGAGCTACCCAGCCACGGCCACTGACCGGTGTTTTCAATGTTTGTTATTACCAGTGCTGGCAAAGGAGTGGGAAAATAGCTAGGCATGTAAGCTGCCACAATCTCTTCGTTTTTAAAGGAGAATGAATACTTTGCACCAGCAGGCCCATCCCCACCACTTGGTGCCACAGATACACTCCCCAGGGGAAGAGCCTCAAAGTCATCATTAAGTAGGTGGGAAATTACGCCACATTCTTATACTGGGATATTCTGCAGCTAAGCAGGAAGGCAGCCTCTCTAGGCTGCCTTGGGGATTCCAGGGATCCCCAAGAAATATATAAATCAGAAAGAAAAATAAATAAAGCACAGCTGGAGGCATCTGAAATGTGATTTGGTTTCTGTCTCTATAACTCTTTTCTCTGCAACCCCCACGCTTGGCGACTAGACAGAACAAAGCCTCTGGGGTGCCCTCTCCATCCCAGCCAGCAGCTTTGATGGGGGTTCCCTTCCATCGGCATCATCACTCCTGCCAGTGAGACAAAAGCCACATGTGACCTCCCTGTTCACTGGGGAGGCAGGATCCCATCGAGATGTGTCGGCACCCTGGGCAGCTGATTGCTTTGCATCCCGCCAAAGCGATACTCTCTGGAAATGCTTTCAACTGCTCACTGTGTGCTGGTGGAACCGGAAGGCAGACCACTGCTGGTACAGTCAGCCTCTCCCTTCTCGTCCCCAGCACGTCTGCTCTGGCCTCCAACTTTTGCCCCACTCAGTAGACACAGCCAGGCATGGACCTCAGTGCGTCAGTACTGAGTGGAATAGGGTCTCCCCTAATTCACATCCACCCCACATCTCTGAACATGACCTTATTTGAATATAGGGTCTTGCTCTGCTGGTGTGGCTCAGTGGATGAGGGCCGGCCTGCGAACCAAAGGGCCGTTCATTGGATTCCAAGTCAGAGCACATGCCTTGGTCGTGGGCCAGGTCCCCAGTAGAGGGCACACAGGAGGCAACCACACATTGATGTTTCTCTCCCTCTCATTCTCCCCGCATTCCCCTCTCTCTAAAAAATAAATAAATAAAATCTTTAAAGGAAGGAAGGAAGGAAAGAGAAAGAAAGAAAGAAAGAAAGAAAGAAAGAAAGAAAGAAAGAAAGAAAGAAAGAAAGAAAGAGAAAGAAAGAAAGAAAGAAAGAAAGAAAGAAAGAAAGAAAGAAAGAAAGAAAGAAAGAAAAGAAGAAAGAAAGAATGATCTTTGCAGATGTAGTTAGATTAAGATGAAGTCGTACTGGGCTAGGCTGGGCCCCAATCCAATGACTGGTGTCTTTCTAATATGGGAAAACAGAGACACAGACACAGGCTCGAGCAAGAAGGCCATGTGAAGACTGAGGCAGAGTCATGCTGGCAAAAGCCAAGGAATGTCTGAGCCACCAGAAGCTGGGAGAGACTCATGGAGCAGATTCCCCTTCAGGGTTCCCCGAAGGAACCAACCCCCTTGATGCCTTGCTTTTAGACTTCTGGCCTGGAGAACTGTGAGAGAATCAATTTCTGCTGTTTTAAGCTCCCGGTTTGCAGTAGTCTGTTAGAGCAGGCCTCGGCCACCAGCAGAGAGAGCACCCTCTTGGGAAAGCAGTGTCAAGCCCAGCGCCAATGGCTGCTGCTGGGGCAGCTGCTTAGAGGTCCTACCAGCACCCTACTCAGCTTTTCAAAACATGTCTTCTAATCAAAGGTGTTCTGGAAACACAATTCTCAACATTTTGTTATCTCTCCCCATCACATCCTGGGACATTTAGTGTCCTTAGCTCCCGGGGTGGCTACCCTACTGAACCTCTTTTCTGGGAAGCCCAGAATTAGATCTAATGCATCACAAGCAGGCACACGGTGGCCACTCACCCCTTGTTGATTATGAGACCCTCCTGGGTGCCCAAGCTCCCAGCTCCGACTCACACACACCCCAGGCTCCCCTCATCAACCACAGTAGCCACCACCATCGGACTGGGTCCAGCTGGTTGAAGAGCTCTGCCCAGCTAACCTCCTTCTGGAGGCTCTCAGATGAAGAGGCCAGATCAGGCTGGGGCCCTGTCCCCCTCCCAAGGCAGTGGCTGACACTGGTCATGAGGACACTCACGGGGTCCTTATTCTCCTGGTCTGTCCTGGTCTCCCTGATGTCCCCGTTGTAGGTTGAGGTCCGCTGATCCTCAGCCGTGCTCCGCTGCTGCCACAGGATGGCCTCGCCCTCGTACTCCTTCCTGTACAAGTTGGTCCTGTCCGACAGGCTGGCTCGACGCACCACCTTCCTGAAGGAAGAGGGAGGGTGCTGGAGGCTGCATCCGGGCACCACCGGCAGGAGCACGCATGGGGACCCCTGGCTGCCCGGCCCCTGACTCACCCACGGCTGCCTGTGCTGGATGTTCTCCGGCTCAAGGATGATTTGTGCCTCAGCTGTGACTTCATGATGACATCATGCTTGTGTTTTAGCTCCAGCAGCAGGACCTTGAACTCCTCTTCTTCACACAGGTCTGAAAGGACAGAGGAGTCTATCGTGGGAAGCAGCGCAGGCACCAGTGGCCCCCCAAGAGCTGAGGAGCTGCCCTCCCAGCCAACTGAAAACTCCCAGCATCCTTTGGGGCATGCAGAGAGAGAAGAAAACAATGCCACCCTTATTTCCTGGGCTACAACTGAATTCTTAGAGGAGACTAAAAACAGGAAACCCAGGTTTCATGCATAGCCACAACACCTAAGGTCCCCAGCTATAACTGAAGAAGTCATATACCTTTGATAGTTTCCAGAACGACTCACCAACTTACCACTGACATAAGAAGTATCAACAGAAACAAGCAGGCCCCGTGTAGTCCAAGAAAGACATTATGCAAAGATGCTGAAATCATATCCCCACCCACTCAACCCACCTAATTCTTTCTTTCATCTATGTACCTCTTCAGCGACTCAGTCATCCATCCGTAGGTTCATCCTCTACCCACCCTCTTATCCCTCCAGCCATCCATATTTAATACTCTGTCCACACATTCATCCACTTATCCATACATTATCCATCCATCCATCTTGTCCATCATCTATCTGTTCACTTATCCATTAATCTATAGTCCATTAATTTATTCATTCCTCCATCTATCCATCTACACGCCAATTCCGCATCTATCCAACCATGTATTCATCCATTTATCCCTCTACCTATCAAAAATTGATGAGATCCTATCATGTACGAGGTGTTGTGCTGGACTTACCTATTGGCATTTCATCCATGGATGTCCTAGCACTGAGACTGGCCCCATGGGACACCAATAGCTCTGCCATTTGCATCTGAAACACAAGAAGAAGCCCACGTTTCCACTGCCCCAAGGCTCCGAAAGCCTAAGAGGTAGCGAGAGCTTCCAAGGCCTCTTAACACGTGACCCAAAGGATGGCGGGGAAAAGTTGATTCCCTGGGAAGGCTTTGAACCCTGGGGCCAGGAATCCTGGGATGCAATGGGCGGACACATCCTCCAGCAAGCCCAGACCAAGGGACAGAGGTAAAGGAGTCAGTTTTAACTCTAGAGCTGTCTTGTGTCTGTGGAAGGGCTGCAAAAGCTGCAATCAGGCTATTATATCTGGGAAACAAAGGGAGAAACTACACAAAGCAGAAATGCTGGAAGTTTTCTAATTTGGCAAATTTAATTATTATCCTGTTAAAATACAACTTGTCAAATGTTTTTGCAAACTCCCTAGGTCTTTTCATATCACATTTACTAGCTGTAGTCAACACCTTGAGGGGGGTCTTGTGTTCTTTTGAACCAACTGCCAGACCAAAGGACAGCAGGTTGGTCCTAGGCTGGCCTTTCCCACAGCCCTGTGGGTGGAAACTACCTGTCCCCAGAAGGCAGCCGCGTGCAGGGGCTCCCAGCCATCCCAGTCCTTCACATCCACGCGCACTCCGTGGTCCAGGAGGAGCTCAGCTGCTCGTAGGTATCCATTGGCTCCAGCTATGTGCAGCTGAAGGAGAGGAAAGAAGTGAGCATCCCCTAGGGGGCGCCAGTTCCACATTTGGAGGTGGGATAGCGCGCTCCCTAACCCCAGTCTCAGATCGTTCTGGGGCCAGTAGAATGGAACAGAATAAGGTGCAGATACCAGCCACATTGCAGAGAATGATTACATAGGCAATACAGACCGAGAAGTTAAAGCAAAGAGGTGAGCTCTTCTCCCCTGTGGTTGGTCTTAGAGCTCCTGTGGTTTGGGCAACAGCATTTAGAGTCCCTATATACACTGAGCCTTGTGGAAGAGGCTTCAGGGGTCCAATAGAGTGGTTTTAAAATACGTCTACAAATTCTTTGACACATCTCCACTTAAAGGATGGCGTTTAATTCCTCTCCCCTTGCATGTGGACCAGATTGAATAATTCATTTTTAACAAACAGGATATTGCGAAGGGGCAGTGTGTGATTTCTGAGGCTGGGTCATAAAAGGCATTGCTGTTTTGACCTTATGCTTTTTTGGATCAATCACTCTAGAGCAGGCAGACATCTTGTGAGGACCCTCAAGTAGCCCTAAAGAGAGGTAGGTCCCAAGGAGGTGAGAAACTGAGGCCTCCTGAGCCCTAATTTGCCCACCACCTTGGAAGTGGATCTTCCAACCTCAGTCAAGCCTTCAGATGACAGCAGCCCTGGCTGACATCTTCACTGCAACCTCATAAAAGACCCCAAGTCACAGCCTCCCAGCTAAACTGTTCCCAATTCCCTGACACACAGAAACTATGTGAGATGATAAATATTTCTTTCTTTTGAAGATGCTGAGTTTTGAGGTAGTTTGTTATGTAGCAATAGTAACCAATACATCTGATAAGGGAAAGCCTTGTGCTAAGGCCCCAGTTCTTCCACCTGGCACCATTCAAGGCCTCTGATGGTAGATAACACCTTGCAGACCTCAGTTGCCCCATTTATTCAATCTTCCAGAAGAAGCATTAAGTACTTAGCACATGATGAACGCTCAGGAAGTGATTAATATTCTTAGAAGGCCTTTAGTGATCACAAAGTGCACCATGGGAATGAATGAAGGACCGAGAAGGAAATGAGGTAGAGAGAAACCAACTGCCCAGCCAAGGTGGGAGACAGAGGTAAGAGTCCAAGGAAGCCAGCAGAAGACCTACTGGGAGGAGACAGGAGCCACCACTGGAGAGGCGTGGCCTCCACCATGTGCTGGCCCCCTTCCACTCTGGCTGGTCTTAGCGCTGGCCCATGTCCTCACCAGCGTGGCACCCTGGGCATCGATCCAGTCCAGGTCCTGGCCCGCGGCGATCATGCAGTGGATGTCCGCAATCATCTGCTGCTCGGGAGCCGCCCGCATCTCGTTGATTTTCTCTTGAGTGATGCCTGCAGGGGGGAGAGGGGTTTTGTCAGCACCCCAGGCCAGGTTTCAAGTGGGGAGGGAGGGGGCACAGATAGGGGAGGGCAGGGCTCCTTCTCCCCAGGGTCTGCCGGTCAAGGGAGTGGACAGACACGCCCACAGATCATTGGGTTCCAGGCCCAATGAACACCAACACCACGTGCTGGCCCACAGAACAAAGGCCGCTCTTGCCTGGCACTCAGGAGGCACTGTAATGATATCAGTTACTCTTACACATGCTGTTCTTCTACCTGAAAATCCCTACCATCCACATACCACCTCAAATCGCTCAAATGGCTGGCTCTGCCGTCTCATCCTCTAGGGCTGGCATGGCTCGCCTACCTCCCCAGCAGCCCTCTCCTGACCGCCCTCTTGGACCAGCGTCTCTTTGTTAGTATTCTTCATCTGGTGCACAATTGTGTTTATAGCACCTGGCACAAGGCTGAATGAATTTTTGGTACGAGGAATGACTGAATTAATGAATATACAGGGATGGGCAAATGCAAGTTTACAGTTGCTCTCAGGGAAAAGAATACATTAATAAATAATAATGTCAGAATAAACTCTATGTTTTACATACTCACAATTGTAAACCTACTTTTGCCTCCCCCTCCCCATATAACTTTCAAATGGAGAGCTGAATAAATTGAGGTGGTGGGCCCAAGAAAGACGCTTGAAGCCCACAGTAGAATTAGCTGTGCCTGTGACCCTCTCGCCAACAGAAACTAGGTATTTTCCTATCATATTATCTTACTGTTTCATGAATAGTTTGTATATAACACAATTAAAACTGTTTTGGTAGTTTTATTTTAATATAGTTGGTTTCCTTTATAATCCTATGATTCTGATAACCGTATTTAAAAAATATTGTTCTGAGAGGCAGCCCATAGTTTCACAAGATTGGCATAAAAGTTGTTAAAGGCCTTTGCAGAAGGTGAATAGTTAAAGTCTGGGTGCGGGGAATGGACAGCAAATTAGTGGCTTTTGCTGTGATCTGGGGAGAAACACGGGGCAGGGCCCAGGGCTGCAATGGGGAGTCTGGTTTTGGGATTTCTTTCTGAGGAGGAGCTGCAGTCAGTACCTAGGTGAGGAGGGCAGGGTGCAGGTCTCTCTGATTGCTGCATTTGTTTCCTTTCTGAAGCTCATTTGTGACTGAGAACAGCCCACATCTTGTTTATCCCGGCCCCTGGCAGCCAGCATGGTGCCTGGCAGGCACCTGCCAATGTTTCTGACTTTTTATTATTTTCCCAAATGGGAATGTATCTTTATTCTGAATGTTTATTGAATTGTCACAGCTGATGAAGAGGAGACAAGGCTGGCTGAGGCCGCCTGCATGTGTGTGTGACACAGAGAACAATACCTCCCTCCTGCACAGCATGTGTCCTCATCTTGTTAGTCACATGACAATAATAATAGGAACCCATCCCATTTCCTGTGCACTGAGCAGGAGGCAGGCAGGTATGTAGCTTACTAATATGTTCTCCTGCATTGATTTAAGAGCTGCAACTGCAATGCTGCCCCGAGCCCACTTTATGGCATGTGCCGCGCACTTACCCTGGTATGCCATGCACGTCTCGATGACATCCAGAGTGGGCTCATCCTCACAGAGATCATACGGCATATTCCCATCGGAGTTGACAGCAAGCAAGTCAGCTCCACTGCAGAGAAAGAGCAGGGTGAGGGATGGGTAGGTGTTGCTAGGGTTGGTCTGTCTCTGCCCTCCAAGTCTCTCATCCACAACCCCGTTGTGTACCCAGAACCCAAAATGCCACCAAAGCGTACCCTAGCAGGGACAGTGATTTCAGGATTCTTGGACTCTCAAGGACCTCAAAGAGCCAAAAACAAAAACAAAAAACAAAACAAAACCTTGAAAAAGAACAAATATGGAGAACTGACACTTCCCAATTTCAAAACTTACTACAAAGCTACAGTAATCAGAACAGTATGGCACTGACATAAAGGCCTATAGGCCAAAGGAATAGAACACAGAGCCCAGAAAGAATAGAGAGCCCATCACACACATGATGTAAGAATTTTGACAAGGAAAGTCTTTTCAATAAATGGTGCTGGAAAACTGGATGGTGCAAAAGAATGAAGTTGGACCCTAACACCATATAGAAAAATCAACTCAAAAGTGAATCAAAATCTTAATATAAGACATGAAACGATAAAACTCTTAGAAACATAGGGCAAAAGTTTCATGACATTGGATTTGGCAATAATTTCTTGGATATAACACAGGCGACAAAAGAAAAAAATAGATTAAATGGACTCCATGAAAATTTTAAAATGTTGTGTCTCAAAAGACACTATCAACAGAGTAAGAAGACAACCCACAGAATGGGAGGAAATATTTGCAAAATATATATATGATAAGGGATTAATATCCAGAATATATAGAGAAATAAAATTCAACAACAAAAAAGCCAAACAACCCAATTCGAAAATCAGCAAAGGACTCTACATTTCTCAAAAGAGACACAAATGGTCAATTAGCACATGAAAAGACGCTCAACATCACTAATCATTAGGGAAATGCAAATGAAAATTACAATAAGATACAAACTCACACCCATTAGGATGGCTATGATCAAAAAACAGAAAGCAGTGTTAGTGAGGATGTGAAGAAACTGGAATTCTTGTGCCCTTTTGGGGGGAATATAGAATGGTACAGTGACTGTATGAAACAGAATGGCAATTCCTAAAAAATCAAAAATAGAAATACCTATGATCTAGCAATTCTATTTCTGGGTATATACTCAAAAGAATTGAAAGCAGGGTCTTGAGACATGTTCAAAGCAGCATTATTCACCATAGCTAAAAACATAGAAACCACCCAAGCATCCATTGGCAGATGAACGGATAAGAAAAATGTGGTATATACATATTCAATGAAATACTATTCAGCCTTAAAAAGGAAAGAAATCCTGACATATGCTGCTAAACAAAGAACCTTGAGGACATTATGCTAAGTGAAATAAAATCAGTCACAGAAAGACAAATCCTATGTAATTTCACTTAGATGAGGCACCTAAAGTAGTCAAAACCGTAGAGACAGAAAGTACCATGGTGGTTGCCAGGGGAGAGGGGAGGGGTGAATGGAGAGTTATTGTTAATGGGAACAGAGTTTCAGTTTGGGAAGAGTTCTAGAAATAGATGGTGGTGATGGTTGCATAAGAATGGAAATGTACTTAGTATCACTGAACTGTACACTTAAAAATGGTTAAGATGATCAATTTTGTGTCAGGTTTACTTTAATGCAGGAAAAGTTGGTGGGGCGGGGGGAAGAGAATGAAGGGAGAGACTGAGTGAAGAGTACAGAGCGAGACCAAGAGTGAAGGGAAACAGAGATGGAGAGAAAAAGTTAAAGGCACACAGAGATGGAGAGAGGAGAAGGGAATTGAGGAAAGACAAGGAGAGAGAGAAAGACAAAAAGAGAAAGAGGCAGAGATGGAGAAAGGATGCAGGGAGAAAGAGAAAATGACAGGCACCAAGAGTCCGAGAAAGGGAGGGAAAGAGGGGAAAAAAGAGGAAGAAGAAAAGAGAGGGGAAAATAAGAGAACTTGGAAAAAAATGAAGGCAGAGAGGAGGCTGTTCTTGGGGAAGAGAGGGGTACGTACTACTGAACGAGGATTTTCACCAGGTTGATGTGGCCGCAGGTGGCCGCGGCATGCAGGGGCGTCCACAGCTCGTTGTCCTTGGCATTCACGTTCGCACCGTGGGAAAGGAGCAGCTTGACAATTTCCTCAAAGTTGTCGATGCAGCACTGTGAAGGGGACACAGGCAGGGTCAGCTCCAGGCAAGTCCCGGGGCCCAAATGGGGACACACCGAGTTCCCCTGGGGAGGCCACAAGAAGGACAGTAGAGCCTGAGATTGAATCCAGCTCCGTATTTATATGCTGTGTGATCTTGGGCAAGTCTCTTAACCTTTCTGAGCCTTCTTCCTTGTACAGGATAAAAATACTGATTTTGTAAAATCAGCTATAAAATGCTTTGAAAGCATTGCTGGAATTAGACAAAGTTTTGAATGAGGCTTTAAAACTTTTTCTTTTTAATTCCAGAAGGCTTACTTCCAATGAAATTGTATGGAGAACGCTAACTTAGATAACCAACAGATTTAAGTAGGGCAGCTCAGCGGAAGCAGGGGGACGGGGAAAGCTGGGGAATTACGGGGTTCCCCTTCCCAGGAATGGCCTCCGAAATGTAGCCCTAGATTGATCACAGTTTAGAACTTCTGACTGAGGAATTTCTGACTCAGGAGTTCAGTTCTTGGGGAAACCGCTAGTTACCAAACCTCCCCCTCAAGACCCCAGCTCTATGCGAAGGCTGCAAGTAGGAGTGGGGGCTGGAGTCCTGAGACAGTCCTTGCAAGGGGGCAGCCACGTCGGTGCCCCTGCTGGTCCACACGTGGGTCAGCTGCAGAGAGAGGGAAGGCCAGGAACCTGCAGCCCCTAGGTAGAATCAGGGGTCCAACAGCCACTGGAGCCCCTAACTCCAGGGACAGAGAATGAAAGATTCCAAGGGGACAGAGAGGCCGCAAGCCAGGGCGATGGGCAGGGAGAGGCGAGGACAGAGGACAGAGGAGGAGAGGTCAGGGGCACAGTGCTCAGCACTGCCCGTCCAGGCAAGGGCCTGGCCCTCAGGGCAGTGGGAGACGGTGTAGAGTTATATTTGGAAGTACAGCACAGCCAGACTTGTTTTGTAAAATCCTTCCTCTGGTTGCATGTGGAGAACAGATTGCAAGTGCAGCTTCTTTGGGATGAAAAGAGACTGGTTAGGAGCGATGTTGAAATCACCCAGTTAAGAGATGATGGTGGCCTGGCTTCCAGAAGGAACGGTAGGCACGCGGAGAAGCGGTTGGATGCCAGCAGAATGAGAGGGGCGCTTGTGGGCGCCCATGGCCCCAGGTGGGTGCGGGGATGAGGAAGGGGGTGGGGCCGCGCCACAGTCCCAGTGCCCACTTCCCCCACTGTCCCCCACCCCCGCCCCGTGGAGCCAGGGCTCAGCACCAGAACACGTGGGAAAGGAAAAGTCTTTGGCACAGATGGTGCCAGAGACCCAGGTTCTCTTTCTGCGCCAGCAGTCTGGGACTGGCTGTGTCTGAGGGCATCTCCCCCGACAGTGGGGTACAGGTGGCCCAATGAGGTGGGGGCGCTGCGTCAGGTTGCGCGGAGAAGCATGCAGCAGCGAGGCGCGGCCCACAGAGGGCGCCAGAGGGGCCCGAGTGAAGCAGAAGGGAAAGGCTGGAGCCCCAGGCTGTCAAGGGAGATGAGTCAGGGCAGCCCCGGTCCCTAGGAGGGTCAAGGAGTAGGAGGGCCAGAGATCTCATCCTTAGGGGCTGCAGAAAACATGAGGATGGGGAGAGGGAGCCTCGGGTTGAAGTGGGGGAAGGATGGTGCACCCAGAACTGCAGTCTTGTGATAGGCTGCGTCTGGGAGGCCCAGTCTCAGCAAGGGCTGGGCTGGGGGCTGGGGCAGGGGTGCGGCGTGGCGGGGTGAATGGCCGAGAGGGCAGGCCGTCCCTCCTGCAGGGAAATGGCGCCTGGGAGTTGGATGGCTCCTCCGCCCCTTCACTTCCCATGCCCAATCTGCCACCGGGTGTGGATCCCATCTCATTAATCCGCGCTGCCCTGGCTGGGGCCTGATCACTTCTTGCCACCTCCCTACCACTCCCCTTCCACACATCCTCTGGGACAGAGTTTCCTCCTTAATCAGACAGGTTGCTCTCAGTTGCCAAGTGAAGGCTCCCCTGTTGCCAAGTGAAGCAAATGCACCCTCCTTCGCAGGCACAGGAAGCTCTTCTTAATGTGCTCCTTAGTTGCCCTAGAGCAGTAGTGACAATAACAATGGCACCAGTAACGGACAGCCCCGGCAACAGCAGTAATAATAACATGCCACCTCATCCATCAGAAGAGCTGATGCTTCCTGAGGAGTTACTAGGGCCGTGCACCTTGCTAACCCTTGGCCCTGCCTTGCCTCGTTTCATCCTTGGAACAACATTTCAAGGGCTCGAGAGCCACGCTTGCTGCTGACTACCAGACTGGGCATTGCAGATGCACAGAACATTCCATCACGGAGCTGCACAGTGCTGTGCCTGAGCCTCAGTTTCCTGAGCTGTAACATGGGGTAATATTTCAGAGGGTGGTTGTAAGAATCAGCCCACACTTCACATAAGCGCAGTGCCTTTACAGAAGATGAACATGTAACAGATTTTAATAATATCTAGTATTTATCCAGTATCAGAAGATGCTCGCAGGGTTTTTATGTGAATTAATTTAATCCTCCTAACAACCCAGTGAGATAGGGAGTTATGATTCCTCTTCTACAGATGAGGAAAGTGAGGCACAGAGAGCTTCAGCAACTTGCCCAAGGTCACACAGCTGGAATTTGTGGACACCTGAAGGGACAGGAGAAGAGGCCGAGAGGACAGACACACAAGGAGCCAGTGAGCTGAAGGCTGAAATTGGGGACTTGCCCTTGGGGCCTATGGGCTGGGCAGTGACCAAGTACCTCTTCACCCCTTCCTGCCCTCTTGGGAGATGGAGTGGTTCTCACTGACCCAGGCTTCCAGCAGCCTGGCCTCCCACCTGCTCAGACACCTGGGCCGGGGCACAGAAGGGCTTCTGTGCGTTCATTCATTGGGTCAGCGTGCACATATCGAGCACCTACTGCATGCCTGCATGGGGAAAGATGCTGGGATATACCAATGAGCAAGAGACATGGGCCCTGCCCTTGTGCGGCTCAGAGTCTGGACGGGAGGACCAATATCAGACGATCACACTAATGGCTAAAATGACAAATAAAAGGGGTGCCCAGGAGAAAAGGACATGTGTGTAACAGCATAGCTCTCGGTTCTTGTTGCTGACTCTGGATAACCAGTGCACATGGGAGAGTGTGGTAGGGATCAGCAGTGTGTGCAAGGAACCAAAAAGCCGTTTGGCTGGAGCTCAGGGAACCAGGAAGCACGGAGGGCCCGTCAGGGGCCAGGCCTCACAGGGCCTAGTGGGAAGACACCAGAGCGCTTTGAGTAACACCAGAAGATTTTTGGCTTGAGCATTCCTGTGGTCGCTGCATGGAGAAGGAATCATGGCAGAGCCACCTAAGTGCTGGGGACCAGTTAGGAGGCCAATGCAGCATCCAGGCAAGAGGGGACAGCGAGCCAGGGGGGTCGAACCCATCCCACTTCCCTAGAAAAGGTTATCTGTTGTGATAGCACGTGGCTCATGGCTTGAGTTCATGACTGTGTGACCTTAAATGGCTCCCGTAACCCTTCTGCCAATCACCTTTGTCAGCAGGATGGATGGATGCCGTGGTGGGTGCGAACAAATGTGCTTCGTAAACTGTCAAGCTCCAAACAAACTTGCTTTGTTTGCCAAACCCCCTGCTGGGCGGCGAGGAGGCAGTGGACAAAGGCTCCCTGTCCTCAGAGGCTGTGTGTACGCCGTGTGAGCGTGCACGGGGGCTCTGTGGGTGTGTTTGTAACAGACACACACGTCTCCGAAGCAAACAAGAGCCTTTCAGATGGGGCAGCTGTGGCTCCCCTTCCCTCCACCCTCCCTGAGGGTTCTGGACAGGAAAAAGCAGGAAGATGGGGTACCTGCCCAGGTGGGGAGCATGGAGCCAGGGACTCCGGTCTGCCCGGCCTTACCTGGTGTAGGGCTGTGAGTCCATCCTCGTTGCACAAGTCAGGGCTGACCTTATTCTTCAGAAAGTAGCGTACTGCAACAGAGCGGATAGGAGTGAGCAGCTCGTCACACAACAGGTGCGCAGGTATGCCGGGTGGGGGGTCCAGGTAAGACCCACGCTCCCCAGGTCCTGACACTAAGGATGTCATGTGTTCATACTGCTTGGGGCCATTACACACGGACATAGGCCCATCACCGACTGCTAGAGCCCTTCTATGGCTCCCCATTGCTCTAGGAGCAAAGTCAAAACCCTTGCTGTGGGTTTATCCCTGCTTGCTGGCCCCGATCTTGCGTAATTCCAGTGGGCACCACTCACACCGTGGTCTGTAAGACTGGCACGCCTGGAGCAGGGCAGTGCACAGCCTGCTCAGCTGTGCACAGTGCTCCTACCTACCTATATACCTCTCCAGTCTCATTTCTTAAGCTCCAAACACCTTTTCCACAGTGGTCTTTTGTCAGCTACAGGATTGCCACACTTCCTCTGGCCTCTGAGCTTTTGCTTAGCCTGTTCCCACTGTCTGGAAGACTCAATCATCAATTGATTCACCCACCCATCTACCATCCACCCATCCACCCTCATCCATGCACCCATTTTTAGCACATGTGGCACCCATGCACTCACACACCCACACAGCTGCCTTGCTCCTCACGCTTTTGTTCTCAGCTCAGATTCCGCAGGTAGGGCACTCCCCCCGGTTAGGTAGACCCACCACTCCTGTGAGTCTCAGCAATAGCCTTATCACAACTGCAATCACATACCTGTTTGGGTAATTATGGGCTTTGGTTCTGTCTGCCATAGGACACTAAGCCCCAAGAGGGCAGGGTAGGGACAGTAGGTACTGCCCTTTCCTGAAGGCCTGGCACACAGCAAGTCCTCAACAACCCTTTTGGAACCCTGACCTAATCAGCTGCCCCCTCGCTCAGCCCAAGGACACAGTCTCTCCCTCTCTGAGCCAAGCAAGCCACCCTCTGGTGCTGACCCCAGATGGCTCATGTCTGTGGTGAGCAGTGCGGCCTGTGGGTCCCTCCTGCAGAGCCATGGGTGCCCTGGTAGCTGGTCCCAGCCTAAGCGCCATGAGAGATTATGGCAAAACCACTGATCACCAAGGCCCAGCCTGTCCGTGGGCCCATGAGGGTGCCCTGAGCCCGGCCGTGGCCTAGAGGGAGCAGGGGTGGCCGTTATGTTCCTATCCAGGAAGGTTCTATTCACATGAAGCAAGGATTCAAATCCCATGGGGCTGGGTGGTAGACCAGGTTCCCTGTCTGTACAGGAGACACTCTTTGAGGCAGAAATTAAGCTTCAGCTACCAAAAGCAGCCTGTGTGCACAGTAATTATTGGGGTGTCCTCCATGCTGTGTGGGAGACCAAGATATGTAATTACTCCAACGCCAGGCCGTTATTTTCAGCCCAAGAGGTGGAACAACTCACTCTATCTCTAAGGGGCCCTTACTACTCATGAGCCAAGGTCCCCACAGTGATACTACTTCTGCTCTGGCTCGGAGCCTGCCTCTGGACACAGCTTCCTGGAGCAAAGACCCCACCCCCCAGGCCACAACCAGGCTCTCCTGCCTCTGGGGTTTAGCAAGAACAACGATTCTTCTTTCAACAGTGTCTTCTCACTGAGCACTTCCTATGTACCCAGGTCAACGCAGAGCCTCTCTCTGCCATGGACTCTCGCCTGTAATTATTCCCCAACTGGAGAAGAGGAGACAGAGGGTCAGGAAAGTGTAGCTCATAGTCACACGTGGCCAAGGGGAGGAAATCAAACCCTCTGATTTCAAAACCCAGGCTGATGAGCACAGAGTGGCTCCACTCTGCCCGAGGCCACAAATAGGAGCAAGAATCGCTGGCGCCCCGCTGAGTGGCCAGACCTGTGCTGAGAGCTGGCGCAGGGACGGAGGTGACCGGAGAATGCATAGCAATTTCCCCTTCTTCTTAAGCATCAGAGGCCTTCGGGTCTCAGGCTAAGCCTCTACTTGCAGATAGAAGGGTTCAGAGAGCCAGAAACAAGGAAGAAGAAACCTTGCCTTGGGAGGGACAGGGCACAGTCAGAACTTTCAGGGCCATTTTAAGTATGAACCTGCTCCCTGCCTAAAACCCTCTCGTGGCTCCATGTTGCTCTTAGAATGAAGTTCAGAATCCTCCAGTGGCCATCATGGGGGTCGTCAATCTATGGCCCATGGGCCAAACCTGGCAGGCAGCCTGTTCTTGTAAATTAAGTTTTACTGGAACTCGTCTGCACGCATCCATTTACATGTTACCTATGACTGCTATCGCCCCCCAACAGCAGGGCTGCGTAGCTACAGTAGAGACCTGGGACCCACGTGGCCTAAAATATTTACTACTTGGCTCTTACAGACCAGGTTCGCAGACCCTGGTCTTCTAGGTCCTGCACAGCTCAGCCCTGCCTAAAGGGCTGCCACCCTGCAGAACTCCGGGGGAATGATGCCATTGTCGTGTGAACGGCTGGCTCTGGAGCTGTGCGTGCCCAGCCTGCTCAGCCATGCCCAGCAGTCCTGTCTCCCTGCCCCTCCGGGCTCACCTCTTGCTCTCTGAGCACCTTACACAGTGGAGAAAGCTGGCTTGCTAGGGTCTCAGGGGTCGACTGAGTCTCAGGGAGCACCAAGAGAGGGCATGCTCTCCCCTCTAGCCAGACTCAGTGACCACTTCGTCTACACTCAGGTCTGCTCCCTGCCCCCAAGTTTGTCCACCAGTTTGCCAGAGTGACCCATCTGTCCCCTGACCCCGCACACTTGTTTAGCTGTGGCTTCAGGCAAGTTCCTCCTCCTCCCTGTGCCTCGGTGTCCTCATCTGTAAAATGGGGTCACAACAGCGCCTCCTTTGTGGGGTTGCTATGAGGATTAGGGAAAACAACACCTGAGAGCTACTCCTCTCATTTCTTCTAGAAATAAACATAAAACACAACCACTGAGCTCCTGCCTGGTCCTGCTGTGCGCTGGGAGCTGGGAATATAACCACTGACATCTTGCATTTCTCAAGAGCTCTGCACGTGATCATAAAAGACAGATGCCATCTCTCTCCAGGGGGCTCTGAGCAGCTGCTGATTCGAGGACCGCAGGGAGGCCACAGTTAAGGTCTCCATGCAGGCAAGACCGCACGGTGATGGCAAAGACGTGGCTGCCGCCCTCCCCCTGTGTATTCCCGCTCCTGGTGCCAACCCCACCGCTCTGCCCACACCTCCCTGGCAATCTGGCTGGAATCCGGGCCAGGCAGGGCCATCTGCTCCCCTCTATCTCCAGCTGTAGCGAGTGAGCCTGAACAGGCCCATCTCGGCAGGAAGCTGATGGTGGCTGCCTTATTGGGCAGAAATCACCACTGACAACCTTGTGTTTTCTTTGCTACCCGACCCACTCTGCCCCCAGAGCAGACTTACCGACCTGGAGCTGGTCAGCGCAACCACAGGTGCGGTTCCTGCCCCCGCCTTGGGACACAGGGAACTGGGGACAGCCAGACAGAGGTGTCTGCCCCTGAAGGTGGACCTTGGGCAACCGGCATCTGCCGGGGCACTCGGGCGCTGAGTGGCTGTCACCTGTCCACGTGACCTACACAGTCGTGTCTGTGGGATACCCAGTCACCAAGATCTCCTCCCCCCTCCCATCTCGCTTCCCTTCCCATCCAGCTCCCAGCAATGTGGCCTCCAACGCACTGCAAGTCCCTGCCCCTGCTCACCTCCCACCTCGTCCCATCATCCCACCTCTCTCCCCAGTTACTCACTGATTCAGTTACGATGGCTTCTTTCATTTCCCAAAACAAAACAAGAACTGAGCTCCCCAAGGCCTTCTCTCTCTCTCCTCTCTCTCTCTCTCTCACACACACACACATTTTCTTCCCATTCTTAAGCCAACAATTTTCTCTTCATCCTTCAGATTCCAGCCAAAATGTCACCTCCTCTAAGAGGCCTTCCAGGATCACCTCAATCTTAATCAAGTCACCCCAGTTATTTTATCCCAAAGTACCCTGCATTTCTGCATTTTTGCATCATAGCACTGACTACCATAATTTGAAATGACAGGGTGATTACTTAGTAGTATATAAGAATTATATAGGTGTTTAGTTTTGGGGGTCTCCACAAGGGCAGGGACATGTCCATCTCATTGACTGCTGTCGCCAGTGCCTGCCATGAATCCCAGTCCATAGCAGAGATGCAAACAAACAAACAAACAAACAAACCCTATTGTGGTAAGGGCACCTGAAATTTACTCTTAGCAAATTTCTAGTACTCAATAATCATTATTATTAACTAACAGTCATCACACTGTACCTTAGATCTCTATACTTACTCATCCTGCATATTCACAACTTTGTACCCTTTGACCAACATCTCAAAAAAAGTAACTGTATGAGGCAAAGGATGTGTTCATTAGTCTGACTGTACAAATCATTTCGCTATGTATACAAACATCATGCTGTACAGCTTAAATATCTACATCTTATTAAAAAATAAACATTTGAAAACATTTTTAAAGAAGTATCTATTGTGTGAATGAACAAAGGAAGGAAGAGATAAAGGGAAGAATGGTCCATGGCCCACAGGGCCACTTGCTCCTGGGGCCATGGGACAGTGGGGACATGTCCTCCTCTTGGGGACATGTGTGTAGACCTGCGGATATGGGGCACTACAAAGAGTGTGGCTCAAGGACTGAAAAGCAACTAGAATGGATTTTGCACAGAAATGAAGTAGCAAAGAGCCCTCCCTGAGCCTTCCCTGTCCATGCAACCGGACCGGGCAGCTGACCGAGGGAGCCCTTCCGCCCCACTCCCAGGCCCTGCCGTGTTCCTCCTGCCCAGGGTCCTGGTCCTCACTTCCGCTGCCCTGTGTCCTCATTGTCCTTTCCACTGCCCAGCACTAACTGTGTGCCAGGCACAGTGTTAAGCGTTTTACATCCGTCAAATCCATTAGTCCTCCTGCTCTAGTTATGAGGGTTAATGACTTGCTATTATTAATTAACTGCCTGCTCTTCTTGTCCCAATTGAGGAAAAACGGAGGCTCATGTTTGACCATGTGAATGTCT